GCTACCCAAGTAGTTGTAGAAAAAAAGTTATTTGCTGAAAAAAATATCAGTAGACACAATATTGGTAGGAAAGCTTTTAACCAAGAAGTGATCAAATGGAAAGAGAGCAAAATTTCAATTATTAGAAATCAATTAAAAAATCTTGGCGTAACATTAGATTGGAACAGAGAGACTTTCACAATGGATGAAGTAATTACTTTTTATGGGGAATTTTATTTGTTTACCTCTTGAAACTATTTAAACCTTAAAATACATTTTCAGAAACAAAACAGAGCTGTCAATGAAGCTATTATACGATTATTTGATAGTAAACTCCTATACCGAAAATATTCATTAGTTAATTGGTGTTGTTCTTTACAATCTACAGTTTCTGATATTGAAATAGATCATAAAGACATTTTGGGAAGAACTTATGTTAGCTTACCAGGAAATAGTAAACCTGCTGAGTTTGGTATTCTCACTGACATAGCTTATAAATTTCACAATTCTGGTTTGTATTTACATAACAAATATATTAAATTATTAGTAATATAATATAAAATACATCATTAACTGATATCATTAGATCAAGAAATTGTTGTATCAACAACTAGACCAGAGACTTTACTTGGAGATGTAGCAGTTGCTGTAAACCCTGATGATGTTAGGTATAAAGGACTTAATGGTGTTAAATTATGGCATCCTTTTAGAAAATGTACTATACCTATAATTTATGATCATTCTGTTGACAAAAATTTTGGAACAGGTATTTTTATCCATAACATTTTGAGTATTTAATATTTGGGTTTTATACATTTTTTTTTTTTAGGGGCAGTTAAGTTGACTCCTGCTCATGATATTTTTGATTTTGAATTAGCTACCAAATATGATCTTCCCATTATCAATGTTATTGACGAATCTGGAATTATTAACTGTGAATGTGATGAATTTAATGTAAATTATGATAAATAATAATCAATAAATAAAATAGTTATAATAATAATATAATAAAATTAATAAGTCTAACATATAATTGTATGTTTTTAAATATTTAATTTAAGGGTTTACCAAGATATGAAGCTAGAACTGCTATAGTTCAAAAATTAAAACAAATTAACTTATTAAGAGACTCAAAAGAACACAAAATGTCAATACCTATATGTAGCCGCACTGGTGATATAATAGAACATCTACCAAAACTTCAATGGTATTTTAACTTTCATAGTTTCATATATATTTATTTTCGTTTTCACTTATAATTTATATTAACTTCTAAAACTGTTTTTTTTTTAAGGTTTATTAATTGTAAAGAAATGGCTCAAAAAGCATCAGAATCATTAAGAAATGGTACATTAACTATTGAACCTACTCATTATCATAATCAATGGTTTTTATGGCTTGATAATTCTAAGTATATAATTTAAATGAAATATGAATGTTATGTATTTTGTAATATTAAATATTATTAATATATATTTAGAGATTGGTGTGTATCTAGACAACTTTGGTGGGGTCATAGATTGCCATTATTTGAATCTAAATATGGTTGGATTTCTGCACATAATGCTGATGAAGCTATTAAAAAAATTGGAGCTAAAATGAAATTATCAGAAAAAGAAATGGCCACTTTGGATATTCGACAAGAAGAAGATGTATTAGATACTTGGTTTTCCTCAGCATTGTTACCATTTTCTTCATTCGATTGGCCTGATAAGGTTAATATTGAACATCGCTATTAAATGTTAAAAAAAAAAAGTTCTAACACTACTTTATCTTAGACCAAAGATTTAAAGAAATATTACCCTTTAAGTGTTATGGAAACTGGACATGATATTCTTACATTTTGGATTGCCAGAATGGTAATGCTAGGAACATTTTTAACAGGATCACTTCCTTTCAAGGTAATTTATATTGAATTAAATATAATTATCATTTAAGAATTTTTATATAATGTTTATTTGTTTAGAAAGTGATTTTACATGGTATGATATGTGATAGTCATGGTAGAAAAATGTCCAAAAGTCTAGGAAATGTTGTAGATCCTGAAGATATCATTACAGGAATTTCATTGGAGGTAATTTCCAAAATTATTATTTTATTCTTAACTTATTTGTTGTATACATTAGGATTTACAAAACAAAGTTAAAGCCAATGCTAAATCTGGTACTATATCATATGATGAATTAGAAAAGGCCTTGGTGAGACAAAAAAAACTATTTCCAGATGGTATTAAAGAGTGTGGTACAGATGCCCTAAGACTAACTCTTGTTTCTCAAAACATCAAAAGTAAGTTAAAATTGGTTTTTAAGCACAAAATATGATAAGTTTAAATTAGTTTTGTAAACCATTGCAGATCAAGTAATTCACTTTGATGTGAATGAATGTTATCATAATCGCATGTTTTGTAATAAAGTATGGCAAGCTACAAGATTTGTTTTAATGTGGGCGAATGAAAAAAAAGTTCAAGAATATAAATCACCAACTCCAAGTAATATGATCCAATTTTGGATATTGAGTCGTTTGGGAGATTGTGTTCATACAATAAATAACTCATTCCAAGATTATGATATTTACATTGCTACAACTAAATTGAGACAATTTTTTTACAATGAGTTCTGTGATGTTTTTTTGGTACATATTATTTTAGCATACATTGTCAAATTACCTAATGATAAATTAAATAATTTATTAAATTATAACTTTTTAGGAAACATGTAAACCTGTATTTGAACATGGTACTAACGAAGAGATTCAAACAACTTGCAAGGTGCTATTATATGTTCTGGATACATCTCTTAGACTCATGAACCCACTTATGCCTTTTTTATCAGAAACCCTTTATTATGCCTTACCTGGAAATGATAAAACACCAATAGCACATTCTAAGTTTCCAGAACCAATTGAAGTATATTTATCATAATATATTGTATGCTATGTAACACATCAGTATTTAATTAAGGATATGTATTTTTTAGTATATGGGATGGCTTAATGAACAGTTAGATGCCGATATGAGAACAGTGAGAGATATAGTTACAGCAATACGTAGAATTCGATCAATAAATAATTTTAGCAAAGATCAATCTGAAAGTAACACAAATTAATATTCCATTTTTAATTTCGAAGTATCTAATAAACTTATTTTTAGTTATACTACATTCAAAATGCCATAAATTATTACATAAATATGAAGATATTATTCAACAATTATCAGGATCAACTTTGTGTTTTGTAGAAGAAAATTCTAACTTAAAATTGCATTCTATATCTGATGTAGTTGGTGATCATACTGAAATTCATCTTCTTCTAAAAGTATTATATCAGTACTTAGCAATATTTTGTTTATTATTAATTAATTATGTATTAATAAACAATAAACATTTTTATGAAGATTATTACCTATCCGTAAAAATTTTAAAAATTAATAAAAATATTTTTACTAGGGTGGAAGTTTAGAATACAAGAAATATTATGGTATTTTAAATTCAAGACGTCAACGTTTACAAAAGCAAGTAATGAAAATCGAAAAATCATTAAGTAAAACATTTCAAAATAGTAATGACAATTTAAAATTAACACGAGAAGATAAGGTATATAATTGTATCCAAGATTTGGTATATTTATTTAATTAACCACATTCAATTCATTTTTTATAATTTTTAGATGCATTCATTGATGGAAGAAATAAATAGAATCAGCATGTACATGAAAACTATCAAGGACAAAGAAGTAGTGACTGATTGAACAGTTTTAATAATGAATAACATGACAGAGTTCAATAAAATAATGTATGGTCCTTGTACAATGAGTAGACTGAATAGATTTTATCTAAAATTATGCCAGAACGGAAAACTGAAAAACTGATGTATTTAAAATATGTAATAAAGTTATCTGACTAAATCAAAAATCATTCTACAAAATTTAAGTGAGCATTTATTTGCACAATCTGCCCACACAGACCGATCAAATACTTAGAAAAACAATTTATACCTAATCAAATATTTAAATTGAATAAACTGGTAATAAGTTTTGTCTGTCCCAAAATTGACACCATTGTACTTTATAATAAAATATTCATGTTTAAAACGGTTTTAAAATAGTAAAATCTGGTATTTATTAACTAAACAACGGTTAAAATATACTTAAATTAAGCCATAAACAATAATGCAATATCTATTTATCACTCGCTGTCTTGTATATAAGACCGAGATGTCACCTGACACTAAATAAAATGTTATAGAAATGTGTTGGTCCAAACCGGTGTAAGATTATCAAGATATGTACCATGTCAATGATATGATGCAAACATCCTGGATGCTGCATTCTGGCGCAATTTTTTTCACACCAAAGCGAACAAATGTCTAGATAGCAAACTACTTGTAAGAGTATTTTAACAGTATAATTGCCAAAGATTCTTTAAATAAAGAAATATCTTACTTAGATACATTTATTTTAAGTTAAATGTATTTTTTAGGGGCTAGTTAACATGTTTAGAGAACATCTCTGATAAAAAGAAGAATCTTTATGTGGACAGCGATGTATTATTATAATCAAAAACAAATGGTTTTCTAAGCTTGATTAAATATTTAAATCATATCTGCTCAAGTTAGTTTCATTACTAGGGCGAGTTCTGAGAAAATAAAACAACAGATCTCTCTAAAAACTTTAAAATTCTAACTTGAATACTTGCATTTAACTTTTTGGGCAATATGCATTCGTTTTACCCAAAAAGAATAGTAGTTTACACAAAAGGATAAAAATATACAGCTAAAAGAAATAAATTGAATATTAACATATTAAACTTTGCATTTTGCTATGAAATTTAGTAATGGACAACTATTAAATATAACTATGGAGAAAGTATACTAATGACAAAGTTTAAATCACTGTGATATGCTTCATATTTAAATAATAAACGGAAATTGAACAACTAAGATTGAGTCACATATTCTATAAATTATTAATATTTCACTTTTATTGCATGCATAAATTAATTTTTAGTTATAAAATTAAAACTGATACACAATTTAAATATTTTAATCCAGTCTTCAGCATTTACATTACATTTAAAAACAAATTTATACTTTATTATTGATTAAATGTTTACCTAAAATGTATTTGTCTTATCCATCCTACTTAGTACTTTGACAATATTAAAGTTAATATTAATGCTAATACAATAATAACTATTACAGTTATAGTTTGCATTCTTAATAAGACATTTGTTAGTTATTTGAATTTTTTGTGATCAATTTAAAAAATATGAGAATTTTCAATACACATGTTTAATGCGATTTTACATTTTTGAATTTAAATATACATATTCACATATTGTATAAGTATAACCTGTGAAAGACATAATTTATTTTCCTCTAAACTTATTTGGGCCACCTCTCTGTTGTTGTGGTCCAGTACCTCGGTTGTTACCACCACCTCCTCTTCCACTGAATCCTAAGACAGAAAGCAAATTTTACAAACATTTTATATAGAATTAACACTGAATTAATTATTTCAGTGATAATTAATAAATTAACAAGACATTTTAGTTTAAAAACAGCGTATTAAATTACCACATGGTATAACAAGTAATAAAGATTGAAAATTAAAATAATATGTTATCATCCAGAAATATTTAACTTTGAATTGTAATTTAAAGAATATTAATATGAATGGATTATACCTTGTCTAGCTCCTCTAGGAGCACGATTTTTCTGGTTATCTGTTCGACCACGAGCCTTATTTACAACAATATCTTCTTTCACCATATCAAATATTTCATCTGGTATTCTCAAGTATTTAATCATACTGCCTCTAATATAACATTCTGGAAGTCTCCAAAATCTATCTCCATCCTAAAATTAAATTTAAAAAAAATTTACCTCATATTTCAATATTATATTAAATGATTTAGTTCTTAGTTCTATGGATTAGACAGGTCAATTGATACACATGATACTAGGTCAATTCACTCTAATATTTAAGCTAATAATACTGCTGCAACTGCCAGATGTACATTTTGATATATTATGTGTTAATAATATAGAGGGATACAATATGCATGTGGGTACGGAGTCCTCTTAAGGCCAAATAATTAAATGAACAAAAATGAAAAGACATTTTATTAGTACCTAAAGTAATAAATGAAAAAAACTAAAATTCAACTATTATCTAGATTCTAGATTAACATAAAGTTGTTAGTTATTTTACCAAGTGAAAATAGTATTACAGTATTATTTTCAGAATAAATATGATACATACTTTAGATGTGCAGATCACTTCTCGTAAATTGATATTCATCCAACTATCACATGTCACTAAATGTCCATTGTATGTTTCACCATTTTTTAATTCCACCAGCTATAAACAAATTTTAATTTTGAAACATATTAACTAGTTCAAATTCAAGCAGATATAACTGTCTGATTTTTCATATTAAGTGTGTTAGGTACACAAGCAATTCAGAAAAAAAGTTATTTACCTATCAAAAATACCAGTAACTTAAAACATTCAAAATCATATCAAATATTACAATACATTTTAATCATTGACTTTATATAAATATATTTAGTATTTTTTTAATGATATATTATTAGGTATAACATTTTTAAATCTATCTTTTGATGTAAATATCAAAAAAAAATTTTTTAAAGCCATTGATACTTGAAATTGAACATCATATGACTTCATTTTTGGCTGTAAAGGTTTTAGTCTATAATTTAACCTCAATAAGTCAATATCAAAATCTTAAATAGTTTATTACCAAACATGAGGGTCAGAAGTCAGAAATTAAAATTATTTTTATTTGTTTGTAAAGTGCAAGTGCTTACCATTGGGTGATTCTGAGCAGTTTTTAGTAATGAAAGAGGTAACTGTAACAAAATATAACGAACATTAATTCAATTAGGGATATTTTATAATATAATATATTATTAAATAACTTGAAATAAATGATAAAATATAAAGGAAATATCGTTACCATTTTAAGCGTGCAGTGACTATTTACAAGTCTAACGTGATAGTGTGAAACTAAATATTTTCAAATCTCCTTTCAGCTGCCTTTAAAATAAACGTACAACTAACGAGGAACGAATTACAATTTTACGAATATGAAACCTGAATACAAATCATAAATTGAAAATTGAAATACCGGAACCGGATAAATTGATAAAATGCAATGAACAACAAGTCAACAACGTCTACTATGAAGTTTAAACTGATAAAGGTTATCAAAAGATTCATTTAAATTTCCAGTGTTTCATCCGTGAAGACTGAAGACTAAAAAAAAAAAAAACGTTCCGAAAGAAAATGGTTTTTAGTTTTTTTACCACAGACATTGATTAAATAATAAATATACATGACATATAATTAAATGTATATTTAATCAATGTCATAGAGAAGGAATGAGTGTATGAAAAGCCGAAAACATAAAGATTAGAATGAGGAAACCAAACTCGTACAGCTGCCGCCCTCATGAAAAAACGTACCAAAATGAGTCGCACGATTAAACAGCCACAGTCTGCTCTGCGTACGCTAGGGTTGATAGATTGATACTTTAACAAGCGTAGTAAATGGATTACTCATGTTTTTTTAATGTTTTGGAAAATTTATGCATTATTTTGAACCATAGACCTTTTTAGATTTTATAGAATGTACTATTACGCATTTATACATGTGCATATATCTATATTTCATTAACATTTTTGTTATTATCATATAAATGTTTTGAATTTAATTCAATTTGATTTTTTTAATATTCATTTTTAAATTTTGATAACCAGCTGGTGTCCTCCAACTGGTCAGTTTGTAATGAACTAATTAATTTTTATGGCATTTTCCAGTTCATTTTTCTTGTCTGTTTGGTGTGGCCTAATGTATACATTTTTGATTCTTAAAATGCATTTGACTTTGGGTCCTCATGCTGCCCTTTAAATTTTTTTTCTATGCTTTAACTCTAGTTCATTTTTAAATAAAAATTGAATTTATATTTTGATAGCTCTTGTAAAAATTGTTTGGAATTTTTGTTTTGATTCTTAATATGCAACTTGCCTGCATTCGCCCATGCACCACTTAACATTTTAATGTTTTAGATTCTGAGGGGAGCGATGAGTGTATTGATTTTACAATGATTTTTACATATTTTTTTAACATTTTTTTTTTTTAGGCCTGTCATCACGGTTTGGGGCAGTTCAAGTGCTTCGATTTTCTTCAACAGCAACTTCTCTGATAGGACAGTGAATTTAGTTGGTGCATTCGGAAAATCGAAATCTAAAATTCCCAATTTTTACGACATTGGTTATTCACTTGATTTCTCTTTAAGTGATTATCTTATTTTGTTGTAATTCAAAAACAAATTACTGTAGACACTTGAAATTGTCATCATATGATTGTTTCATCAATAATTGATAAATTTTTCAAAATATTTTGACTCGTTTTAAGCTGTTAACGGACATTTTCAATTTTCTCTTTTCTTCTATAAATGTGAATCAAATTTTATTGGTTGAGACAAAAAGCATGAAAATTTAATACTAGACTCTTGATATATTGTTACAATAGCAGTTGAAAAATATTAAAAATAAACAGGAATAATTATTTTTTATAATCATTTAAAATTAAAATTTTGACAATATTTAACAAATTGAATATAATGATTTGGTAGTTAAAAATTTCTAAAATTTTCAATTTTTATAGTTTAGGATTGACAATTTAAAACGAGGTTTCTTTTAAGCGGTTTTTTCCGTGACTAAAATATCTAAAACAAATGTAAAAATACAGTTACTTTTTACTGACATTTTAAATTCAAATATGGACAAAATTGCATATCAACACAAAATATAATGTTTATCATTTTGTTAAAATTCAGGGTACCAAAATAGCCAAATTTACATAATTCTATTTATTATTTTTCCAGCATCACTGATAATTTAACAATAATATTAATTCAACTTACCGACTACCATATTATTAATAAGTAACAAAAATTTAAAATATCCTAGACTGACAGAAAGCAGACCGTCTTCGCTCAGAATCATTTTCCGTACATGATATAATATCTTTGAATTCAAATTTAATACCATCCATTACAGCGACCTCCTAGACACCTAATGTACAACAAAGTGACATCCACTTAACCGCTTTCTTTATTGTACACTACGCACAATGTTTCTAATTCCACAGTACACACTCAAACTGTATAGAAAAAAACTGCGCAGAAAAATCACGCACAAATTAATATTATTAATCAAACAAAAAAATCAACTAGGATTCAATTTCAAAAATAAAAATGAGAAGGCCAACATAGACGCCCACTGGTATATGCATTTTGAGAATCCAAAAAAAAAATCAAAAAATCAAATAATTCACTTTTAAAAATGTATATTAAAAACAAATATTAAAGACTGCAGTCCACTATATCACTATGCCTAAACTCATAGCTTTATTTTCAATAATTAGATACTGAAACAATGAATTTTTGTAAGGTACTAACTTGCCATCAAAATTTAAAATGTCTTTAAATAATTGAACTAGACTTAAACTATTGTACAAAATATTTGAAGGGGGGCATGGGCGCCCGCAGGCAAATGAATTTTAAGGATCAAAATAAAAACAATTATAAACAAATATGATATAGAATATAAATTCAAAAATAAAAATGGAAGGGGGGTATGGGCGCCCGCAGGCAAATGCGTTTTAAGAATCAAAAAAAAAAAAAAAATATATGAAAAAAGTGCATTAAAAACAAACATTGAAGACTGCAGTCTACAATATAAGTTTTCCTAAATTCATAGCGTTATTTACAATAATTATATCAGGAAAAAATGGATATTTTTAGGAACCTGCTGGTTATCTAAATTTAAAAAAAGAATAAAAAGTTGCACTAGAGTTAAGTTATAGAAAAAAAATTGAAGGGGATCATGAGCGCCCTCAAGCAAATGAATTTTAAGAATCAATATAAAAAAATTATGAAAAAATATGATAGGATTTATATTTAAAAATAAAAATGGGAAGGGGGGCATGGGCAACCGCAGGCAATAGGATTTTAAGAATC